AAAACCCCCCCCCCCCCCCCCCATCCAGGGTAATTTAGTGAAATACAGAATTTATGATTTCATTTTGTTTTGAAGACAAATAGCTACGTTATCATGATACTAATCTTGCGAGTTTAGTCTGGATGGGCGAGACCTCAGGTTTTAGGTAAGTTGGAGTCTGGGAGGGGTATTTCTGTGGTTTAGGAGCTGTTCTGTTTAGATACACTGTACATGATAAAAATATTAATAAAGAAATTAAGTGATTTTGCTCCCTTTCATGTTATAGGTATCTCAATCTAAATCTCATAAAATAATTTAATTTAGGTGTTCCCAGAAACCCTCAAATGAAGGCTTTTCACCTAAAAAAACAGTTAGTTGTATCCCCAGGCTCTTAGAATGATTCTATATAGAATCTTGAAAATGTGTCAAATATACCCCCAAATATAAATCTTGTTGTTTAGAAAACAAATGGATTGGACAACAGGCAAGCGTATAGAAGTCCTCTCCAATATTCAAAATGATATATCCTGATCCATTGATCTTCATTAGTGAAAAAGTCATGGTGACATATGTCCTATCTTACATTACTAACATGTAATACTGGTATTACAAGAATGTGAATAGGAGTTATCTATATAAGAAACCATCAGCTCCTCGCCATGGTTGTGCTACAGGCACATTTGGCAAGCTAATGCTATCTTTATGACTAGTGAATATATGACTCCGCAATGTGTGCTTGATCATAAAGATGTTATGTTGGCAATAAGACAATAAACAAACATGTATATATATAAAAAACACTATCATTTGATCAAGGTGGGTATATATATATATACCTATTTATAGACATGATGACATTCATGCTACACCATTTATATTATACATTGGCTATGACAAGATAAGGGCAAATGTTGGTATGGGCTATATTAGTGTGCTGGGTGCGAGTACCTACATTGTAACAAAGTGAGACCTACATATATATGGTATATGAGCAGTGTTGATCCCAACCCATTTCTTTTTACAAAAAAGTTAGAACTTGGTTATTCTTCAGAAAATGTAACGGCTGTATGCATGAAGTTTGATCTTGAAAGTCTGTATTCTGTATATTGATTCCAAAAAATCAGTATAGATTTACAGTAATAGCAGTACATTGTTTCCGGTATATATATATGTATGTCAAATGTAGCCTTGCTGTTAACAGCAATCTCTACTGTTGTTAGCTTACTTCAGGAACGGCCATCTCTGCTGTTGTTAGCTTACTTCAGGAACAGCAATCTCTACTGTTGTAAGCATACTTCAGGAACGGCAATCTCTACTGTTGTTAACACACTTCAGGAACAGCCATCTCTACTGTTGTTAGCATACTTCAGGAACAGCAATCTCTACTGTTGTAAGCTTACTTCAGGAACAGCCAGCTCTACTGTTGTTAGCATACTTTAGGAACAGCAATCTTTACTGTTGTATGCCTATTTCAGGAACATCAATCTCTACTGTTGTTAGCATACTTCAGGAACAGCAATCTCTACTGTTGTAAGCTTACTTCAGGAACAGCCATCTCTACTGTTGTTAGCATACTTTAGGAACAGCAATCTTTACTGTTGTATGCATATTTCAGGAACATCAATCTCTACTGTTGTAAGCATACTTCAGGAACAGCAATCTCTACCGTTGTTAGCATACTTCAGGAACAGCAATCTCTACTGTTGTTAGCATACTTCAGGAACAGCAATCTTTACTGTTGTTAGCATACTTCAGGAACAGCAATCTCTACTGTTGTATGCATATTTCAGGAACATCAATCTCTACTGTTGTAAGCATACTTCAGGAACAGCAATCTCTACTGTTGTTAGCATACTTCAGGAACAGCAATCTCTGCTGTTGTTAGCATACTTCAGGAACAGCAATCTCTACTGTTGTTAGCTTACTTAGGGAACAGCAATCTCTACTGTTGTTAGCTTACTTTAATAGAAGCATTTTCAAAAAGGTTTAAATTCAAATTAAAAATTAAGTTAAAGCCCTTCAAAATAATCATCAAAAACTTGCCAGATATCTCATTATATTGTTTGTTGTTTTGGAAATTACAACTGTTTGATTTCATAAGGATTTGTTAATATGTTTCCACCAGTGACCTTTATTGGAGGGTGGAGGACTCTAATTGTATATCTAGTTTAAGGTGATGGACATTATCTTTAATCAAGCCAATGCAATAGTCTCAAGTTTGGAAAGAGTCCCAGCAGTAATCCTCATTCTTATACCTCTGCTCTGATAAAACACTGATTATACAACTCGGTTTGGTGTAACAATGAGGGACTTGATATAGTCTGGTACAGCAGTATCCGTTTATAGCTATATATAGTTATGAATTGACGGTGATATGTAGAGGAAGTCTAGACATGTCTAGATCTTTCTGCTATGTGTGTTTTACCTGGTAGGTAAATCCCCAGTTTCAGTTACTATTTTTGTGTCCTGTTAATGTTCCTGTGTATATGCACCAAACTACACACTATTATATAGTACATTATGTATTATTCAGTCAGGCTAGTAAATAAATGGTTCACGGCTGGATTTTATAGCACATGTAACATATACATATTGATTGAATCTGTAGCTTGACAATTTTATCTTTTGTTTCCTACAGAATAGCTCTTTGGTTAACCCTTTCATCACTGTAGACCATAATGGACTCATCCATATCAATGCATTGAAGGGTCTACTAAAGTTACATAGGGGTGAAAGGGTTAAAGAATTTAAAAACTGATTAATGCAATGTTATTTTTTAGTGGCTCTATAGAAAAAATACAGTGTTGAATTCATAGTTTCGTGAGTATTACATCTGAAAATATACTTGATTGAGTCACTGTCATGATAACTTTACTGATTCACCTAACTGCAATCATTGTGAATACAAAATGGCTCCTATAGTACATGTATCATACAATTCACAATAAGGGAAGACAGCTAAGAGCAATGGGTAGTTTTCAGCAATTTTAATTTTACAAAAAATAAAGATGGCTTTTCTTTGTAAAATTATTAAAAAAACGGGGGGAAATGGAGAACTGAATTTCAGTTTTAAGGGGCCCATTGCTTTTTTAAGTATTATGCCTGATAAAATTTCCTTATTAAGCTACATGTGAAACTATTGAGTGGGTCTTCACATTGAAACAAGCAATAAGTATTAATGTTCTTCCTTTATATAAATTTATTCTGTTTGTCCTTTTACTTATTGTCCATAAAAACTACTCCCTAACTTTTCATCTGATTCCCTTTAAGTGAGTAGGGTTTACTAGGAACATTTATTGCCCTTAGTTGCGGCTGTATTTCACACATATTGATCTTACGATAATTTCCAGAGTTGTTGCCCTTTGTGCCCTGAATTTATTGAAACTTGAGCAGGTTTACTACTATTAGTTATAAATGTACATGCATGTTTATCTGAAATATCTTATAATATACGAACATATAATGTAATTGTATACAAATACACACGGACATATAATGTAATTGTATACAAATATACACGGACATATAATGTAATTGTATACAAATATACATGGACATATAATTTAATTGTATACAAATACACACGGACATATAATGTAATTGTATACAAATATACACGGACATATAATGTAATTGTATACAAACGCACACTATGTAAATATTGTCTACACTATTAAAGGAGTCTTACAACAATGAGGTCAGAAGTCCCTGTAAAAAGAATGTTGACACATGTCCTCTTTGTCGTCTTTGAACCGATTTAAAATATGTTCTGAAGTGTGGATTTTCAGTGCATTGTTAACTGTTATCTCGTAAGATTACTCAGTACAAAAAGAATCCCAACAGGACACAGATCAAGATACTTTTTTCAAAAATCCAACCACAAGGAAATTTTCTTTACAATGCTAACGTTGTATATAAAAGAAAACTGGACACATGAACAGTTGAACACATGCATTAATGATAGATTTTGTGATGGGTATTTTATTGCATCATTTATTTTAAGATTATGAATAAATGTAAATGCACAAGTTTCTTTTATGAGAGTCGTCATGACAGTTTATTGTTAAAGTTAAATTTTAATAAGGCGGATATTGCAAGCAATTTTCATAATGCAATGTAATTATTGAAATATTTAGGTAACATTCTGCCTCAGTGTTGAAGTGGGGGAAGATTCTGTTTGTCCTGGCTGATTTCTATAGTTGATACCCAGCACATACTATAACAATAATGTCCTGGAAATGCATTTGAATATCATACCCCAAACCCTTTCAAAATTATAAATAAATGAAATGTAATTTTATGTGTTTCCTATTGTTTTCACAGGTATCACTATGTACGGGCAGACAAGGTGATGCGACTACGACAGTTGCTACATAAGCTGGGAAATATACCAGGCATGATGAGCGAGGAGAAAGGTAATAAAAGTATTCCTCTGGACATTCAGAGACTATCACAGGTTCCTGTTGTAACACAGGGTCATTTGGACATTCAGAGACTATCACAGGTTCCTGTTGTAACACAGGGCCCTCTGGACATTCAGAGACTATCACAGGTTCCTGTTGTAACACAGGGTCCCCTGGACAAACAGAGACTATCACAGGCTCCTGTTGTAACACAGGGTCCTCTGGACATTCAGAGACTATCACAGGCTCTTTTTGTAACACAGGGTCCTCTGAACATTCAGAGACTTCCACAGGTTCCTGATGTAACACAGGGTCCCCTGGACAAACAGAGACTTTCACAGGCTCCTGTTGTAACACAGAGTCCTATGGACATTCAGAGACTTCCACAGGCTCCTGTTGTAACACAGGTTTCTCTTGACATTCAGAGACTTCCAAAGGTTCCTGATGTAACACAGGGTCCCTTGGACATACAGAGACTTTTACAGGCTTTTGTTGTAACACGGGGTCCTCTGGACATTCAGAGACTTCCACAGGTTCCTATTGTAACACAGGTTTCTCTGTACATTCAGAGACTTCCACAGGTTCCTGATGTAACACAGGGTCCCTCGGACATACAGAGACTTCCACAGGTTCCTGTAGTGACACTGGAATCCTCTGGACATTCAGAGACTATCAAAGACTCCTGTTGTGACACAGAGATTTTCCCTTTCACTGGCTCCAGTAATGGCAGGCTTCATGAAAAATAATCTTTTTGACCTTCAGTATTATTGCATAAATCTTTATTAAATGTTATTAATCAGTTATAGACATGTGTATGATAGATCCTAGCAAGGGAAACACTTTCAGCATAAATTATTTCCTTATTTCAGATAAAGGAAGAAAAAACTTGAAACTGTTTGTTTTTTTACTACCGATACTATTTAAAATAGATTTTCTCAAATTATCCAAGGGTTACAGTCTCAATATACAATATCTTTTCAGAATTTAAGAGAGACCTTACTTCAGTTGTAACATGTATAATTGTTGTACTTTCCGTGTGTTCACAGATCCTGAGGAGTTCCTGAGTTTGTTATTGACTCAGATCACCAAGGCAGACCCGCTACTACATATAAGGTTAGCACCAACAAGTGTTATGTTTAGAGGCAAGACATGGGAAACTATAATGTGTATAAACTATAAATTTTCAAGATTTAATCACAACACTAGGCTTTTATCATGATCGAAACCCTAAATGAATGTCTGAAGACATTGTTAAGCTCCGACAAAAACATAACATTCTTCATTGTGTTTTACTACGAAAACTTTTCTCGCATGAAATTTTTTGTAAAGGCTTTACCTTCTGACCTTCACTTACACTTTCTAGTCTTCATGACTTTGTTCTCGGGAACTCAGAGTAGGAATAAATAAAAGGTTTAAGGTTTGATTAATAAGTCAGTAATAACTTACTTGATCTCTGTAAGTCAGTAATAACTTACTTGACCTCTGTAAGTCAGTAATAACTAACTTGACCTCTGTAAGTCAGTAATAACTAACTTGACCTCTGTAAGTCAGTAATAACTTACTTGATCTCTGTAAGTCAGTAATAACTAACTTGATCTCTGTAAGTCAGTAATAACTAACTTGACCTCTGTAAGTCAGTAATAACTAACTTGACCTCTGTAAGTCAGTCATAACTAACTTGACCTCTGTAAGTCAGTTATAACTTACTTGACCTCTGTAAGTCAGTTATAAATTACTTGACCTCTGTAAGTCAGTAATAACTAACTTGACCTCTGTAAGTCAGTTATAACTTACTTGACCTCTGTAAGTAAGTACCAGATAATAACTTACTTGACCTCTGTAAGTCAGTAATAACTTACTTGACCTCTGTAAGTCAGTTATAACATACTTGACCTCTGTAAGTAAGTACCGGGTAATAACTTACTTGACCTCTGTAAGTCGGTAATGACTTACTTGACCTCTGTAACTCAGTAATAATCTACTTGACCTCTGTAAGTAAGTAATAACCTACTTGACCTCTGACAGGTCGGAGGGAGACCAGGACATACAGCACTCGTTCCTATACCAGCTGATCATGGAGAAGGATGAAAGACTTCTGCTGCCCACTACACAACAGCTGTTTGAGCTGTCATTTCTACAGATGGGCGTCAAACTACAGGAGGTAATTTACTCTTTATCTTTTAACTATTTTTTCTTTCTGTCCTTTCTCTTGATAGTTGTCAAAGACAGATTAAACAAATTAAGTTCATTCAAAATGGTTGTCCGACCATGTTGTCTCTAAATTAATTTCAGTGTAACTCACAAGCTACTTGAATGGAAGAAACTAGTGTTATCCCTAACCATTTTAGAACTAAGGTGGAGTTACTTCTGTCTCAATCGCATTGAATAAATGAATATGCTCAGATAATTGTCTGTGTTTAAGACTGATTTATACTAAATGTTATCACTGTGTCACTCTTTAGGAACAACCTGTCACAGTGTAGGGGTGAATGAGTCTAATTTCCGGTATGTGTCTATGTTGTAGCGACCGTCGTGTTTGATCATACAGATGCCGAGGTTTGGTAAAGATTACAAGATGTACAACAGGATTGTACCAAGTCTAGAGCTAGATATCTCTGATGTCCTGGAAAGTGGTGAGTGGACAGTGGTCACTTCTCAGAGTGGTCAACACTGTTGTAGACTTATTGCCCTATCATTCTATGTAACACATGCTCAAGTGTCTGTTCTGTTATGGGATGAAAAGCTATATTAAATTATATAGGGACAATTTTATTGTGTAAAGAAAATTAAGTAAATTGAAAATCGTAATAGGACTGGAACCCATGCTGAAAGTTGTTCATTTACAGCTTTCTTCATTTTAGAAAAATCCTCTCCAAAACCAGGGTATGTTATCTCAAAATTATTGATACTGTGAATAGCAATTATAATTACTTTCTTTCATGTAATACACAGTTGCTATTGTAAAGGTACAGAATGCTGAGGTTATGATGTTTGTGATTACAGCTCCGCGGGAATGTATTATCTGTGGGGACCTGGCCATGTTTGAGTGTAAGAACTGTTACAATACACATGGTGCTGGACTGAATACTATCGCCTTCTGTGAGGGCTGTAAACAAATGGTAAGGGTTGAATACACTGGTCATAAATAATTTCTTTTGAAAAATTTGTATTTTACAATGTCACAAGGAGAAAACATTGTCATTTAAATACCTTGCAAAACTGTTGATTCTTTTGGACTAGGGAATACATGTATACTGTTGTAACATAAATCCATGTAATGTTTATCATTTAATTTTCGTTTGTGAAAAAAATTCTGCAAGTTTTAGTCACTTGAACACATGTAAATATATGATAATGATATTCTTTTTGAATTTAAAGTATCTGTTATTTCATATCTCTATCGGTATTTCTCTAAGTTAGTAAAGAGGAACATTATGTGGGTTTTACAGTAGAACAGTGTTATCTGTTTAATCAAGGTTAAAAGAAATATTTCAGAATCCTTTCCCTGAAACAAGGGTGAGGTAAACAAGTTTAAACACTACAGAATAAATGAGGGACAAAATAAATGAAGTGGCAGAATAAATGAAGTGGCAGAATAAATGAAGTGACAGAATAAATGAAGTGGCTGAATAACTATAGAGTGACAGAATAAATGAAGTGAAAAAATAAATAAAGTGACAAAATGACAAAATAAATGAAGTGACAGAATAAATGAAGTGACAAAATAAATAAAGTGACAAAATAAATGAAGTGACAAAAAATAAAGTGACAGAATAAATGAAGTGACAGAATATATAAAGTGACAGAATAAATGAAGTGACAAAATAAATAAAGTGAAAGAATAAATGAAGGACAAAATAAATAAAGAGACAGAATAAATGAAGTGACAAAATAAATAAAGTGACAATGATATCAAAGTATTGGTATAATGTGTTGTACATGGAAGAATGGTCTGAGATTTTACTTTTCATGGTTGTAACTTTACTGAATTTTTTCTTTCAGAGTCATATGCATAAATTACGTCAACACCACAAGCCTCGGAAAATCTCTGTTCCGCAAGAGTACCGTGAGCGACACAACCATCAAAAACATGTCACTGGACAAAATCCTTCAATACCTCGAGAAAAAATGGAACTTTTTGCAGTAGTTTGTATTCAAACAAGCCATTATGTGTCTTTTGTGAAGTGTGGCAAGGGCAGGAGTGCCCCCTGGCTTTTCTTTGACTCGATGGCTGACCGGATGGGTAAGTAGCATTACGCTGTTTCTGCTATCTAAAAATGAAAGTTCTTGTTCAAATAAAGCTGCTATGTTTAATTTCAGTTAATGCTATGTTTGCTAGAATTATCGCTTTGAAAAGTCTATTTAATTCAATCTTTCAGAAACGAATCATATGAAAGTGAGAATTTTTTCATGGTAACAAATCATCAAAGCTAGTTTTCATATTGGTTTGGTGTCAATCTAAATTTGATATGGATTATTTATAAATATCTCTGTGGTTCAGTAAGATTGCAGTGATTTTGTGTGTTTCAGGGGAGCAGAGTGGTTACAATATACCTGAGGTAAAACTGTGCAAAGACTTGTCTCAGTGGCTCTCGGACGATTACCAGTCGGAGATAATGAGTCACCGTGACAATAAAGACCTCCCAGAACACATGCGTCGGCTCTTGTGTGATGCATACATGTGCATGTATCAAAACCCTGAAGTGTCAATGTTTAAATAAACACAGCATTCTATTTATTGACCGCTAAATATCTAACAAGGCATGAAAACTACCCATAGTCTGACTTAATGTCAAGAGTAACTATCCTCGTTATCTCAGGACTAGCAACCTCTACATGAAGCCATTTAGGCATCTGTTTCTGAAACAGCAGTCACCCATAGGTTCAGCATAAAAACACAGTATGTCACAGCGATTTGTCAGCCTTTAGTACTCTAAAAAGATAGGTTTTGTCAAAGGAGTGACAGCCTTTGGAGTGTAATATCTGGGAGTTTACATTGTCCCTTCATGGGGGAGTTTACAACAGGTTTACATCAATACAGTGTCATTTCACCTGGAGGGAGATCTCCAGAAAATTAGGCAATTTGGAGGCATGTCTGAATAAGAATGATTTCAGCATCAGAATAACAAGAATGAATTCAGTGTCGGAATAATAAATTTATATGAGAATGAATTCATTTTGGTTGGAATAGAATTAGAGAATGTGGCCATCATCACTTGAGAGACTTTGAGAAGTATTCGAAAATTATGTCGTCGCTGGAATAACCGAGAATATTGCTCTAATCATCGAAATATCTGGATAGGAGACGAGTAATGATACTGCTGCTGAAATAACTCAAGGATAATAATATCAATATCACTGGAGTTGCTTGATGACTTTTGGAGAACGATGCCATTATCACTGGATATATTTTGGAGAACGATGCCATTATCACTGGATATATTTATGAAAAGTATGTGAAACCAGTGTTGTCTCTGGGAAACTGAGAATATACTATCGTCACGGAATTGACTATGAGAATAATTAACCAACATCATTAGAGCAACTTGATTAACTTTTGGAGAACCTCATTTATCAGCAAGCTTTCCAATTAATTGTTTCTATTCAGAAAATGAACTTCTACTTGTATTTAACAATATCCGAGTCTCAATCCAAGTTTTCTTTTTCTCACCAGTGTACAGATTGATGAGGTGTCGTTGGTATAGATAGAAAGTCACATTTTGTGATAAATTTCCAGGGAGATCAGATCAACTTGACAAAATATTGGAACATCAAGTCAGAAGCTATTTTCTAGCATGATGGAAAACCCCCATTTTATGTGACGATTATAGAGATGTTGGAAACTTTGGTATCCAAAGATATTTTATGCAGATGCATGTCATCTACATCGTGTGTACAAAGGGATACCGTAGATGTCTAGATAGGTAAACAGTAGTCATGGTTATCACTTATGCACTAGAAAATGTTACAATTTGTCATGATATCTTACAACTTGTAATTGAAAAGTTGATGGGGTATGCGTTCTGCTATTGCCCAGCGTTTTTATAGCCTTATCCTCCCACTAGAGCTAGCCGAGTCAAATTGCTTTAAAATGTGACTGACAATCGCTTATCATGTTGTGAATTTTAGCAGTGATGCTTCATACAATAAAAACGAGGATTAACACCTGATTCATAAAACTGATCCGTCTAAAATATCCCTTCAAAAGGAAGTACATTTACATACGGAGCTGTGAAAATACTGATGTGTGATCAACTGGTTTCTGAATAAGAAAAAGTGACGCGAACTGGTTTATGAAGTTTTAAGTAGAGATGCTACTCGTACTTCTGCAGCATCATGAATCATTGTTAAGGAGAACAATAAAAGAGGTACACAAACAACACGGTATTCTGGTGTCAGGTTTTTGAAGGAAACAAATTATCTGGTCAATTGTCATAATTTTTAACGCAATTTTTGTTTGGTTTATTTTATTTCATACCTAGTTGGAAATGATGGAATTGTTTTAAATTCTATATACATTATTGTACGTAAATTCAAACTCAAGTGTTGCAAGAACAACTTGGCAATTCATTTGAATTAAATATTGATAATGAATATTGCTGGGATATTTAATTTACACTGAAAAACTGGGAATTATTTTAAAATTGGGAATCCAAAATCACAATAAGAATGTTATGTACTGTAATTAATTCACAGTAAAGGGGGAAAATTATGTCTGGCGAGTAAAACAAAGAAAGAAATCATCTCTAAGGAAATGTGTTAAATAAACCTTCCTGAACTTTTAACATTTAGGGAAGTAGTAAATCTAGAGGTCGATGACACTATAGAGGGCGGCAGACTGTAGGTGATAATGTACGTAGGTAGGGCGGCAAGACTGTAGGTGATAATGTAGGTAGGTAGGGCGACAGACTGTAAGTGATAATGTATGTAGGTAGGGCGACAGACTGTAGGTGATAATGTAGGAAGGTAGGGCGACAGACTGTAGGTGATAATGTAGGAAGTTAGGGCGACAGACTGTAAGTGATAATGTAGGTAGGAAGGGCGACAGACTGTAGGTGATAATGTATGTAAGTAGGGCGACAGACTGTAGGGGATAATGTAGGTAGGTTGGGCGGCAAGACTGTACGTGATAATGTATGCAGGTAGGGCGACAGACTTTAGGTGAGAATGTAGGTAGGTAGGGCGACAGACTGTAGGGGATAATGTATGTCGGTAGGGCGACAGACTGTAGGTGATAATGTAGGGAGGTAGGGCGGCAGACTGGGAGTTATAATGTACATAGGTAGGGCGACAGACTGTAGTTGATAATGTAGGTAGGGAGGGCGACAGACTGTAGGTGATAATGTATGTAAGTAGGGCGACAGACTGTAGGTGATAATGTAGATAGGTAGGGCGACAGACTGTAGGTGATAATGTATGTAAGTAGGGCGACAGACTGTAGGTGATAATGTAGGAAGTTAGGGCGACAGACTGTAAGTGATAATGTAGGTAGGCAGGGCGACAGACTGTAAGTGATAATGTAGGTAGGCAGGGCGACAGACTGTAAGTGATAATGTAGGTAGGTAGCGCGACAGACTGTAGGTGATAATGTAGGTAGGGAGGGCGACAGACTGTAGGTGATAATGTATGTAAGTAGGGCGACAGACTGTAGGTGATAATGTAGGGAGGTAGGGCGGCAGACTGGGAGTTATAATGTACATAGGTAGGGCGACAGACTGTAGGGGATAATGTATGTCGGTAGGGCGACAGACTGTAGGTGATAATGTAGGGAGGTAGGGCGACAGACTGTAAGTGATAATGTACATAGGAAGGGCGACAGACTGTAGGTGATAATGTATGTAAGTAGGGCGACAGACTGTAGGTGATAATGTAGATAGGTAGGGCGACAGACTGTAGGTGATAATGTACGTAGGTAGGGCGGCAAGACTGTAGGTGATAATGTAGGCAGGTAGGGCGACAGACTGTAAGTGATAATGTACATAGGAAGGGCGACAGACTGTAGGTGATAATGTATGTAAGTAGGGCGACAGACTGTAGGTGATAATGTAGGAAGTTAGGGCGACAGACTGTAAGTGATAATGTAGGTAGGTAGCGCGACAGACTGTAGGTGATAATGTAGGTAGGTTGGGCGGCAAGACAGTAGGTGATAATGTATGCAGGTAGGGCGACAGACTTTAGGTGATAATGTAGGTAGGGAGGGCGACAGACTGTAGGTGATAATGTATGTAAGTAGGGCGACAGACTGTAGGTGATAATGTAGGAAGTTAGGGCGACAGACTGTAAGTGATAATGTAGGTAGGAAGGGCGACAGACTGTAGGTGATAATGTAGGTAGGGAGGGCGACAGACTGTAAGTGATAATGTATGTAGGTAGGGCGACAGACTGTCGGTGATAATGTAGGTAGGTTGGGCGGCAAGACAGTAGGTGATAATGTATGCAGGTAGGGCGACAGACTTTAGGTGAGAATGTAGGTAGGTAGGGCGACAGACTGTAGGTGATAAGGTACATAGGTAGGGCGACAGACTGTAGCTGATAATGTACATAGGTAGGGCGACAGACTGTAGGGGATAATGTATGTCGGTAGGGCGACAGACTGTAGGTGATAATGTATGTAAGTAGGGCGACAGACTGTAGGTGATAATGTAGGGAGGTAGGGCGGCAGACTGGGAGTTATAATGTACATAGGTAGGGCGACAGACTGTAGGGGATAATGTATGTCGGTAGGGCGACAGACTGTAGGTGATAATGTAGGTAGGTTGGGCGGCAAGACTGTAGGTGATAATGTATGCAGGTAGGGCGACAGACTTTAGGTGATAATGTAGGTAGGTAGGGCGACGGACTGTAGGTGATAATGTATGTAGGTAGGGCAACAGACTGTAGGTGATAATGTATGTAGGTAGGGCGGCAGACTGTAGGGGATAATGTATGTAGGTAGGGCGACAGACTGTAGGGGATAATGTAGGTAGGTAGGGCGACAGACTGTAGGTGATAATGAAGGTAGGTAGGGCGACAGACTGTAGGTGATAATGGAGGTAGGTTGGGCGACAAGACTGTAGGTGATAATGTATGTAGGTAGGGCGACAGACTGTAGGTGATAATGTAGGTAAGTAGGGCGACAGACTAGGTGATAATGTTGGTAGGTAGGGCGACAGACTGTAGGTGATAATGTAGATAGGTAGGGCGACAGACTGTAGGTGATAATGTAGGTAGGTTGGGCGACAAGACTGTAGGTGATAATGTATGTAGGTAGGGCGGCAGACTGTAGGTGATAATGTATGTAGGTAGGGCGACAGACTGTAGGTATGTACGGTGACAGAGTATGTAGGTAGACACAGTTCTGTGAAGTACCATTTGCATATCCAAATTAGGATGATGATTCTTTATAAGAAACTTTATATATTGTGTGATTTTGGAAGTGTTGTTCAGGTGAAAAGACATTAATTGTGATGTATGATAAAAAAATGTAAACACTACTATTTGTTATGTTGATTGGCAAGTAGCCCGATATCTATTTAAAAGAAATTTTAGACGAGGAAAACCACAGGACCCTAACCCTTTCACCACTGTAGAACATAATGGACTCATTCATATCAATGCTTGGTAGAGTCTTCTAAAGTAACATAGGGTTGAAAGGGTTAACCTATACATAAATAATATATTATAACGTTAATATTGTAAGATGTTCAAATCTAAAAAAAAGTTTTCCGAATAATCGTTTGACATGACATTTAGAAACGCTTAGAATGACTGGACTGATATCGTGTCATATTGGTTGTATATTTTGTATGTGAGTGAAGCGATCCATCAAAATCAGATTAACAAGGAATCATGTCTGTTCCCTTTCATAATAAATGTATCTATATATATTTGGTGGGGTAAGAAGTTTACGAATTATGTGAATCGATTTGTGTGATGTTAAAATCCGTCGATTTAGATTTATTTGTAAAATACTAAATTACAAGGATATAAGCAACATATTGTTAATTAAAATATTATTTCTTACAAAGTTTAAATATTATATATACTTGTTAATTATTATGAATTTGTTGTGTAGTAACCCGTCTTAAATGTATTTATGTATTATTTTTTACAAAGTGTTTTTCCATTTTTTTTTGATTATTCAAATTATTTCTAGTTTATTTAATTTCAAGGCATGAAAATTTGAAAAAGTTCATTTATTTATATGCGCTCGCAGTTTTGTAATAATGTATCTAAAGCTATATTGCTGCTATATATAGCTACCAGTTCTGCACCTTCATACTTCTAACCTATATATAAGGGTCACAAGGTTTCAAGACATGTTATACATGCCACAATGTGCCCCGTGTATGCAGGTTTCAAAAGTGTAATTTTTGAATATTTGTTCAAATTAAATAAAATAAAAAGTTAATGTTTTGACAAAAGGTTTTGTTTTGATTTGTACCCTCTTAAATAATAAATGAAAATCTTATCTCAAAATCATAGCTCACAGTGACCTACTTTTATACTTCGACACTTTGCCATCCCAAGATGTACTTGCATACTAAATCAGGTTACTCCAGGTGAAATGCCCCGGACAAAATGTCGGCCAACTTTTTCCAAAAAGGGCATAACGGCTGGATCACAATTTAAATTGCAGGTGTACAGCTTCCGAATGTGTTAATCACTTCAGTGAAGTTTCATGAACTTCGGCTAAAAACTGTAGGAGCTGTGCAGACAAAGTTGTGTCTATAGGTGGACAGACAACCTGATTCCAGTATGCCCCTTCCAACTTGGTTACAGTTGGTGTACAGAAAAAATAATCCTGAAAGGTTCATTACAGCACTGACTTTTGAGTTCATCGTGCTGAGTTGGGTGGTTGACATATGCTATTGCTTGCATTGCAAAGTCTATTTTATTTTAGAACTATTCCCCTCGCATAATTAATATAATAATAATATACAACATTTGATAAAGCACCCTATCTAGCTAACCTAAGCCACTCTAAAGCGCTTTACAGCATATAGATATACAATATACAATCAATACAATTAGCATATAGTACATTAATCAATATAATTTTGAGGAATTCGCAGGAGCTGCCTTATCAGGCGCTTACTACTTGTCTTATGCCACCTGGGTAATATCTCCCTATGTGTGAATGCTGGAGATGTATTGTGTTCTGTTTGAAGTGGGACCGTGCTTCCAGCAGTATAATTTATAGTGCCACCTCACTTGAATGCAACAGCACAGATACCGCAACATCCACCCCAGACCATTTTATACTCCACCTGGGTTGTTGGAGTTGTGTGGGCAGGAGAAAAACACTTTCTCTGAATATTCCATGCCTGCATGGGAGGCCTGAGTGTTAACCACTCGACCACTCTGCCCATATCAACACTAAACCATGTGGCAAGTTACTTTCTTGAACTAGCCCCCTCCCCAGTTATGTCAGTATAGGGTCATACAGTAGCTGCAGGAACCGTCAATAGTCCAATAACAAATAAAAAAAAATTTGGGCCTAGGACCTACGGTTTCCGCAGCTAGTCATACAGATGACTCAGCTGGTGTCCTGTTGTTTGACCAAGTTATTGTGCAGAAACTGATAATGTAACAATATGATAATAAATTATCTGCAGGTTTTGCTCACATTTCCTAAGCTTGATCTTTTTCATTATATAATATAAATATTGACCAAGTTTCATTAGAATCTGGTCATATTTGACAAAATTATTGTGCAGAAACTCCACCAATCAGAGCAGTTTGCCGATTAATTATGCACAAATTTTGCTCAACTTCAAACTTTGCCTCAGTCTTTGTAAAATATACATGTCTACAAAGTTTCATAATAAATCTTATCATAATTTAGAAACTTAAGTTTGGAATTTACCAATAGGAGCACAATATGATAATTAGTTATGTGCAGATTTTGCTAAATTTCCTCATTAACCTCAGTCTTCATCTAAATCAAACAAATTTTAAGGTTATTTTGAGGAAACCAAAGTGTGGATGAAGGCACAAACAGATGGATGCTGCCCATACCATTATACATTGTCAAAAGTTTTGATGGGCATATAAACTTACAAGAGTGTATTCACATTATAATTTGAACCATCAGGCCAAATATACATACAAATGTATATAAATTCCGTTTCAATACTGTGTTGTAGTAAGCTTAAGTGTGGCTTTCCCTTTGGACCACGGATGAACATTTGAAAAAAACAAAAACATAATGCAAATGTTGAAAAATACAAAATAAAACAATTTTATTTTCTTGTTTCTACTTTTTCGAGTTACAAGATAAAAACAAACTGATAATTCAGAAATAATACATGCCAAAAGTTACTAGCTATAACAAAACTTAACTGTACTAAACACAGGACGACATGGATTTATGATATACAATGATATATGATAATGGTTAATTTGAGAATGTCACCATGATGAATAAGCCTACGAAAACAGCACATACTGCTGTATATTGCCTCAAAATTAAATATTTGTCAACACAAACAGAACGAATTGTTTATTCGAGTAATTATTGGACATTGCAAGACAAATTACTCAAAAAGGCAAGCACTCAGTTTTAGAATATATCATGAATTTGATTGCTGCTAATGAACTGCTCATCATATCGCCTGAATTTACTGAGTATTGCAACAGAAGCCTATACCTCTGTTTAGTCCTATATCTCTGTTTAGTCCTATATCTCTGTTTAGTTATCAATGTATCAAAAACTGAATGACAAAGTTAACAAAAAATAACCATACTGGTGAAAATCGTAAAAAAAATTGTGGTGTAATGAAATAACTAACGGTAGTTTCTTTTTCAAGGCTACATTTGTGTGTTTGTAATTCAGAAACACAAGTCACATTACTGTCTCAGTTGAACATAAGAATTAACGTAAAGACAAAAGATGTAAAAAAAACTAACGGCAAACAATGAATGACCTCTGAATCCAGCTCAATAAACAATTCCTTTCCTTACAACCATTTAGGTCACCAATCTAAGTAGATTGTCACTCGTATCACAGTGTGTATCAACACCGTTCTACACCTTATAAATATTTCATGTAATCTCAATCCATTGCCAGCATCTCTCCATTTCTTGTCGCCATTTGCATTGTCCACAGTGAGCAGTCAACCAATCACATCCAATTATATTGGTTTAATTTCTTGTGTCAACTGGCCCTGTTCCGCCTTGTGTTTGTACCACACTATATGTCACCACACAAGGACTCGTCACTTTCTCCTCAATATATTATTGTCTTAGTATTTCTTTAGGGAAACTTCTGTGCTCCCATTGGAAAAGCTGCAAACTGTCCAATTCCATACTTGCTCGGAGAAAACGAACATCACAGGAACACTTTCCAATATATTTTTGCACTTATAAGAAACATGGTATCTCAAGATCTTTTAATCTCTTCTTCATACCTTATTTGGTATTTTACTTATATATACACACAGTACAATATTTCTCCTGAGATCCACTCAAACTCTTTGAGAACTTTCCAATAATGAGCAAATGGAAATTCTGAGATCAACAAACAGCTACGTATCATCATTAATCTCAATAACACTTTTCAACATATCCAACATGTATTCATATCAAGGTCAAAAATTATATCAACGGTGCATGGCAAAACAAATCTAGTTAACTTATCAACAAGACTCAAACAAAATATATACACAAGTCTAACATGCTACATTTAACTTATAATGGCAATAAAAATATACTTCAGGTCAAAACAATATTTCTTACGAACTTAATGACATGTCTATATCAAGGGTAGTCATCATGTGTAAATGAAGTACATCTTCTTAAAATGTTTAATTAAATATTGAAAACGATAACAGAAATGTGGGCATAACTACTTTGTTAAAACATGTGAAAGTCATCCTGCTGTGTGAATGGCACTGTTTTAGTTGTATGAATATTTTCAATGAAATAAAATTAATTATATTGCTAACTACTTTTTAATGGTCTGATTACTTTAAATTTATAAAATCGCACTGGCCAAATTTATTTAAATACTAAACTATCAAATTCTATATCTCTTCTTTACACTTCACTATTGGAATAAGTTAATATCAATTTTTGAACCTATCAAAATACTTTTTTTTCAGCATTTGAAGTGGCACCATGACCTGTTTTCACTGCAGTTTTTCTGCACCACCTCATCTTTTGATCAAGATCATATATTAAACTTTTCTGTTTATAATGGCATCAAGGTACATGCATGCCTGAATGCAAAAAAACTGTTAATGGATACAGAATAGACTTCAGTAATGAGACGGAAAGAATAGAGAAAAGAAAATGTGAAATAAAAATGAGGTCATAGATAGAAGAGGAGAAATGATAATTTCTGAACAGGCAGGGAGTTCAGGTGCGACCAAGCCTTAGTGAATCTAGTGTGTAAGGGAATGTGGACAACAAACAGTTAGTTGCTGGTAAATGTTTAAAAAAACATACATTTTAAACCAATTCTATGTCTTACATAACACTGACACACATAAAAATTTATCAAAATCCTTAAACTATACAAAAGGGGATTTCTATTGGACAGGAAGATGATTGAGGTCTTAGTTTTTTGGTTGATCATAGATTTTGCTTTCTGATCTAGTTTTCCACAATAAAACATGGGCTGTACCTATACCCGAGCTTCTGTTGTTGATGTGCTTAAACGACAGAAATAACAGCTTTCTTCGATAGACACTCTCCAGAAAATGTGTGTCAAAACATATTCTTAAACATATGACAATAAGCATATTCAACCACATCAATGAAAAATAAAAGATCCTTGTTTCTTATAAGATTAAGCTGTACATGTAATAGTATTTTGAATAGACAGTGAATGTGTGTAGATATTGATAATTACTCAGGTTAGTTGGTAGGTTAGTTAGTGTACACACCTAGAAAAGTATTTCTATATACAAGTTTGTTCACACACACTCCAATATAGGGTTTTACTGTGAATTTGTTAACAGTATTCTGGCTCTACAGCGGATCTGTTGCAGATTCTACCAAATATGTGGGATCTCGTCTTACTCCATGTCATCAAAATCTCTGAAAGAGGAAAAGAAGTCTTCACTATAGAGAACAAAACTGCTCGAAATTACACAAACTGTGTCACACCCAGAAATATATTGTAAAACTATATTTTATCAATGATCTTAATCCCAAATTTTTGCAAACACATCTTATTTTGTGAATGTGGTATAGGCAATTTTGTTTACATAATTGTTAAGTCATCTAGAAAAGTGTACTATTGTGATTTTATTATAATTACAAACTGATCATTTTAAATCTGATGTCATTCCACTGTTATAAGTCAGTAATTTTTTGAAAGGTATTCGTTACCTTCAAGAAATATTATCAGGATTCAAATCATTTGACTTCAACACTGAACAGTTACAATCAACAGGCAACCATTCATTTTCATTTGGAAAATATTTTCCATCGATACTCTGTAGATTTTCAAATTTGAAAATAATCATGAAGTACATAGGAAAGGGGAAAGTTTCACTGTGTACTACTTAACATCAAAGTGCAGAATAGTCAAAAATAGTAATACAACATATATCTTCAGTGGCCTACGTCAGAAATACAACATATATCTTTAGTGGCCTACATCAGAAATACAACATATATCTTCAGTGGCCTACGTCAGAAATACAACATATATCTTTAGTGGCCTACATCAGAAATACAACATATATCTTCAGTGGCCTACGTCAGAAATACAACATTTATCTTCAGTGGCCTACGTCAGAAATACAACATGTATCATTTGTGGCCTACGTCAGAACAAATCAACTTCTCCTGGACACTCCTCAACAGAAATAATTATAATCTTGGGACCGACACAACACCAGTACATGTGAGTACCCTATCACTTACTGATCCCCAAACTCCATCTCTGAGTTGTCAAACAAGCTGTCATTGCCAATACCAGAGTCTGACTGGGCTGACGTGCTACAACACAAAAACAACAGCAAACGATGGAGAAAGCACAACACAACACAACACACGAAAACAGATAGACATATGAGAAGTGTTGATATGCGTAATATTTCTGGTGAACAATCATCATTTTTAAAACAACTGCAATAGTAAAGACTAAGTTTGTTTTTAACACAAACAGGAATGTTAAAACTGCAACAGTACTGCAGATACAGAACATCATATTTACCATCCATGCAAAAATGATATATTTACACTCCCCATACCTTAATATGTCCCATCAAGAATTTTGACAGACATAACACATTTATTTTAAATCTTGTAATTGAGATATGTAAGTATACAATCTACATTTACTTCAAATGAAACACATTAAAACGTAGCAAATATGTGAACTTCTGTTCATCAGTACTGATGTATAAAATACCTTCATGCTCTACAGAAAATACCTCTCTAGCAAATTAAGCACGGTTTTTATATTGAGAAGATAAACTTTGTACATACATTTTTTGAGATATTTTAAACTCTTAAAAAAGATCTAAACTTGACAATACTTTGCTGACTGTCCCTTGTAATGATGTTCACTGACATTGTGCCTTAAGGTTTATGAGGTTATGAACATGCAGTTCATTGCTCATGATGCTATTGTAAAATTATATGCAAGTTCAGATTACTTTTGAAATTATAAAATAATGAGTTACTGGTTAAAATGAACAGCTCCACAATACAGCAAGTACAGTAAGACACTAATGCACTTAATTCTTTTTTTAAAGTATCAAATGTTCAAAGCGAATTATATATCAGAGGGTGTAAGTTAACTGACACACAAGTTTGGAGTACATACCTGGATGAGCAGCAGGTAAAGAATACTATCCTCTTAAGTTTCTTGTTGTAGAAGAAGTAATTGAACGACCAGATGCATCCCTCCTCTCCGTATGGATCTGAGGCAAGATCTGGGTTGTAACTGAAAACACAGCAATTACACGTGTAACATAAATAGTAATTATTTGTTATACTGGCAAATGGAAGTAAACCTGTCATCAACAGTTACAATTAAGTTTTCATATAGATATAATATACAAACCAACAAATTCTGAAAAATGACTATTAAAATGATGAACTATTCAATCCTTATGATTTCAGTATTTCTTATTAATCACATTGTGTTTGGTAACACACTATCCAAAGGAGAAAACACATAGCGGTGTGCAGAGAGCAACTTGGTTATCACAGATCCTAAACTACGGCTATTGGTCTTGGACAATAACTTTTCATTTACCTGAAGATATCACACTCCTGCAGTCCAATTTCAGCATCCACAGCTGTCCACATCTCCTGGGTGAGTTTGTCAAATCGGTTTCCAGCTGCTGCATGCATTTGCGTGTCTATTGCACCAAGTACCCACTATAGATATAAAAAAAAATATGTTATTATAAATGGATTATATATATATATATATATAGTTTGATCATTTATTATTGAAGTCTTTAAATGGAATTTTAAGGAATAATAATGGACAAAGGCCAAAAGCCTTGAGCTAGGTACATATCAACAATTATTTAACAGATATTCTATAGGAGTGTCAATAATAGCATCAAAAGTATGTAAAACATGGTCTTATTGTGTTTCACGTATCATAAATAGCTTCTTTAAAATATTTATCAATTAAAATTTCAAATTCTCTAATTGTTTGAACATGAACAACATGTTCAGGTCGATTGTTCACACATCTGGTACTTTAAATGTGAATGAGTTTCTCCTTAACTCTGTTGCATTAGTTTTTGTACATTTTGTGAGTGTGACCTCTCGTTCTTCCATTTATATCATAGGTTAATAGATTGGAGGTCTTTACTGTTATAATTTTATGCAATAGTTAGTTGTTACATACACACGTTTCTTGAACACATCTCTAATTTAATGTGATTGTATTTGACAGCACAGATATGAATAGGTAGGAAAACCCTTCAGTTTTTTTCATTCACACTGTTTTCACCTATGTTACATGTATCTGGTTTTTTTTACCTGTATGCTAGGCTCCTTGCTAAATTCCCCGCTCTTTGCGTCACTGAAATCATAGTCCGGGTTGAAGGAGGCGTTGAGTGTGGAGACGAGGTGGAAGAGGGTTTTAGTTGATATAGTATCACACAAGTAACCCTCCCCATCACTGCCCTGACTCCGGCTGTATTGTCTGTAGATAAAGTATTAATACTCAATAATACCATCTGTGGAAAACACTACTGCCATTGCTCTTAGTTAGTTATTCTACCATCTGTGGAAAACACTACTGCCATTGCTCTTAGTAAGTTACTCTACCATCTGTGGAAAACACTACTGCCATTGCTCTTAGTAAGTTACTCTACCATCTGTGGAAAACACTACTGCCATTGCTCTTAGTAAGTTACTCTACCATCTGTGGAAAACACTACTGCCATTGCTCTTAGTAAGTTACTCTACCATCTGTGGAAAACACTACTGCCATTGCTCTTATTAAGTTACTCTACCATCTGTGGAAAACACTACTGCCATTGCTCTTAGTAAGTTACTCTACCATCTGTGGAAAACACTACTGCCATTGCTCTTAGTAAGTTACTCTACCATCTGTGGAAAACACTACTGCCATTGCTCTTAGTAAGTTACTCTACCATCTGTGGAAAACACTACTGCCATTGCTCTTAGTAAGTTACTCTACCATCTGTGGAAAACACTACTGCCATTGCTCTTAGTAAGTTACTCTACCATCTGTGGAAAACACTACTGCCATTGCTCTTAGTAAGTTACTCTACCATCTGTGGAAAACACTACTGCCATTGCTCTTAGTAAGTTACTCTACCATCTGTGGAAAACACTACTGCCATTGCTCTTAGTAAGTTACTCTACCATCTGTGGAAAACACTACTGCCATTGCTCTTAGTAAGTTACTCTACCATCTGTGGAAAACACTACTGCCATTGCTCTTAGTAAGTTACTCTACCATCTGTGGAAAACACTACTGCCATTGCTCTTAGTAAGTTACTCTACCATCTGTGGAAAACACTACTGCCATTGCTCTTAGTAAGTTACTCTACCATCTGTGGAAAACACTACTGCCATTGCTCTTAGTAAGTTACTCTACCATCTGTGGAAAACACTACTGCCATTGCTCTTAGTAAGTTACTCTACCATCTGTGGAAAACACTACTGCCATTGCTCTTAGTAAGTTACTCTACCATCTGTGGAAAACACTACTGCCATTGCTCTTAGTAAGTTACTCTACCATCTGTGGAAAACACTACTGCCATTGCTCTTAGTAAGTTACTCTACCATCTGTGGAAAACACTACTGCCATTGCTCTTAGTAAGTTACTCTACCATCTGTGGAAAACACTACTGCCATTGCTCTTAGTAAGTTACTCTACCATCTGTGGAAAACACTACTGCCATTGCTCTTAGTAAGTTACTCTACCATCTGTGGAAAACACTACTGCCATTGCTCTTAGTAAGTTACTCTACCATCTGTGGAAAACACTACTGCCATTGCTCTTAGTAAGTTACTCTACCATCTGTGGAAAACACTACTGCCATTGCTCTTAGTAAGTTACTCTACCATCTGTGGAAAACACTACTGCCATTGCTCTTAGTAAGTTACTCTACCATCTGTGGAAAACACTACTGCCATTGCTCTTAGTAAGTTACTCTACCATCTGTGGAAAACACTACTGCCATTGCTCTTAGTAAGTTACTCTACCATCTGTGGAAAACACTACTGCCATTGCTCTTAGTAAGTTACTCTACCATCTGTGGAAAACACTACTGTCATTGCTCTTAGTAAGTTACTCTACCATCTGTGGACAAACTCAATACACTGCTATATATCTCTAGTTGTTCACACATTACCACCATTATTACTATGACACTATATTACTATATGGGGCAAAGAAGTAATTCCAACTATATTACTATATATATAGACATGGGTCGAAAAAGTAATATTAATGGTAGCTACCTGAATAACACTGGATCCTTGCAAACATATCATGTGTGTAAGATACAAATTACTCTAAATTGTATATATATGGAGTAATGAAGTAATTCTTACAGTGTGGACAATATATGATGTCAAATTTTCAGAGCAATCCGCTCCAACAATATTATAGGATATAGCTAAATTATTTTGAAAACAATTAGCCCCACACCTAGCGTTAAAGACAAAGAGATTAAATATGCCGCGAAAACTAAAGTCTATGTCCTGATAAAGGAAATATTATGCATCCCGATTAATAGTTTTAGTTGCATTCCATATGTAACCTACTTGCTGGGGCTGTGGGACAGGGTACTCTGTGGTGGAGACAAGGCCTGCAGGTCCATGGGACTGACGCCACCTTCAGCCGACAGCATCTTATTATACAGACGCTTGTCGTTCCCCGCCATCTTACAGGAATAGCTCTCAAGTCTGGTTATAATACAAAAGAACAAATTTCAGTTAAGGTACAAATGAAGACATCAAACAAGAGAAAACTGATTAAAATCTATATCAATAGAGTTCATTCTGAAGTGTAATGAAGTATGCTCGCTCATCTTTCTTAAGTACAGTATTCAAGATTGAATTTCACTTTGTTAGCATTGATGACTTATTTTCAGTCTTGTGCATCATTGAACTCAAAACACTGAATGAAAATCTGACACTAATCCTAACAAGTTGACTACTTCCTTACAGGTCTGGTTTATGTCATAATTGAGCTGTATGTTTAAAAGACAAAGTAAGTATAAAATAAAAACTTCTCTGATCAGAAGAAATTTTGTCCTCTCTTTAACTTGAATTCAACTTTATTACCTGACATACAGAAGAAAATCAAGAGTGATATGTGGTACTCTGTGGAAATTCATAAGTATAGGCCCTATTTCATAACATCAAAAACAATTTGACTTAGTTTTTAAAATGTTTCTAATTAAGCTTACAAATAGCTCCTTCTGGATAACTGATAACATTATATCTATATACTGTACTGTATAGTATTGTGTATAATTGACAATTTTACCAAGTTAACAACCAAATTTTGGGTTATAATGATAACATGATTAAGTAATACAGCAATTTGGCTTAATTTGCTTGCTGATCCGTGACTTGACCAGTCTACACCTGTAAATTTTGATTGCACATACAACAGACATCTGACATGTCATATGACCGCAATCGTGATCATCTGTGTTTACCTTCCTTCAATCTTCGATGTTTCCAGCTCTATAGATAATTTAGAGTTGATCTGTTCAAACACTGAGTTTTCAAGTAGCTTCATGTTGAAAATACGGATGTAAATAATGTTTATAAGGAAATATGTCCGGTTGTTTACAATCACACAAATAATGTACGCTTGAAGGATTTTCTGCGATCTTCCTTTAACAACTAAGAATCGTCTGATAAGAACTGTTCGGCAAAGATTTAAAACCACAAGAAATGTTACTAAAATAATTTAAGGAACACGGCGTTTTCGTTTTTCTTCTGCTTCTTTCTTGATCTCTTTGATGGTGAATTTCAAACGGCATTTCTTCTCTCCCGAACCCTTCGTACTCCATTTGTTGGTGTTTTTCAACGAATGTCAATGTCAAAATAAACAGTGATCTTACGAACACTATTAACGGCGATCTTCTTTGATGTCACTCTGGTGTCACTGATCGGATGAGTAACAATGGTTCCAACTGAACCTAAAACAACAAAATGCCACAGAATCACACAAATTATCACTATTTGTTTGATCTCTTTCTTTTCCGGAATTCTCTGTTTTGCTTCCCCGACCTAATTACCCACAATGCCCCTTTCGGTACTTTTCGTGGAGTCACGGAATCCTACGAACGCTATATCAGGGACTACTGGAAAGTTTCGCCGCGCTATTTTTAACGTTTATCTCATACTTCCTAACAACTAACATGGTTTTCCCAATTTTCACACATGTATGATGTCACTGCGTGCGCTTTCGGACAAAAGATATAAAAACAACTGTCAAGCTGAATAATGTTCCATGTTTATCTAGAATATATATAAATTCAAATTCAAATTCAAATTTATTTGCACATTTGTAACTACAAAGTAGTTTGAAGGCAAAATAGAAAAACACAGTGAAATATATACATAGACATGTACATGTAGAAAAGTCGCAAAGTGATTGCTTATATTTCTAATATACATTAACATGAACAAAATTAACATAGCTTCAAATAGAAAATTTGATTTAAACATTTTTAGCTGCAAAGTCCATACCTTATACTGTCAGCAAGCCCACTCTCCTCAGTTCTAGAGACTGCTAAATGAATAAGCAAGAGTCCAGTATATTTGGGAGTTGTTTGTAGATAATATTGAGGTCAAATAATTGGTATCTAAAGTAACATCCTTGTGATTAGGAATGCATTTTTGGAAGTGTTCTTTTCTGGCAGATTCATTGAGGGAACAGTGAAAAAAGAAGTGTACTTCATTTTCTAACACACCACATTTTTTACAGAGTCTCTGGTCTCTTGGTATACTTTTGAGACGCCCCATGGCTAGCTCCAGCTTGTGTTCACAAATGAAGTAAACATTTTCCTTAAATTACTGACTACTGTCAATATTAAGGTATTTTTCAGGGACATACGCCATCTTTAAGCCTTTATACATGAATAATTTAATACTCTCGTTTAAATTTTTTAGTTTATTAAAGAATCTTAAAAAAACTCCGCATTAAAGCCATTTTGGTCTCTGTGGAGTATAACATATAGATAGATTGAAAAATTATACTTTCTGGATGAGACGTATACAAACATTATTACTTTATATATGTCTCTGGTTCTGGTTTCACACATATGCCGAAGACGTATATATATATTTATTACATGTAACTGTTCTGTTTCACTGTGTCTTGAAAAAGGAGCGGATCGCTCCGAAAATTTGACAACCTATACTTGTCCACACTGTTGGAATTACTTCTTTGCCCCACATATATTACATGTAATATACACGTCTCTGCTGTAAAGCACTGACCTGCGTTGCTTGTTTGAGATACTATTTATTTTAAAAATATAACTTTTTGGGACCGCCTACCCACATACATGATTATATACATTATAACGTTTTCAGATAGCTGTAGCCTCGTTATAGGTACCGCACAGCTCTCCCAGCTAACGCCCAATACTGTACCCAATACTAATTTGATACGGCTAAATTTCAACTCAAACATAAGTAATTTATTTTTCCATATCTTGTATTTTCTATAAAAATATAGAATTTGTGCAAAATACGTAACCAATTTACCGTGAGTACGGCTTAATACTGCCAAATACTACCCATTACTGTCAAAGACAATCTAATTAAAATCCATAACGTAGTGTATGATGAGATATCTGATTTTGTGATTGTGTCAAAGATGACCAAATATGACAAAACACTACCCAATACTACACTGATAATACGACAAAGTCAGTACTACCCAACGCAGACCTCATTTTGGTTTATAACCTTCATTATATAATATATACGTCTCAGTATTTTACACCAATATTGTCTGTTGTTTCAGAGACGTTTATATATATACACACGTCTCTGGTTGTTTGGTGTTCATTAGACCGACAGTTCGCTGTAAATCAGTTGTTAATTTGAGACATAGTTTTTCGAGTTATTCCCCTTTATACAGTATACGCTGAAGTAACCAAATCCGGTGTGGAATTATTGATACGAATTATCAATATCAATGCTAATATTATCAAAGAGCCTGAAATGACTAAAATTTATACAATACTACTTATTTTACTTCTCCCCAGTCATTACGGTCTACCAAGAACCCAATATTCCGCCCAAACACATATTTGCATGACTCTTAATCAAGTTACAACAATCATAAAACAACAGTTTGATTTGGTTTTATTTTGTTTAACGTCCTATTAACAGATAGGTCATTTAAGGACGTGCCTCCGGCCATGTGTGTGATGTATGCATACATCTGTGTTTGTTTGTTTGAAGACAGGATATGTTGGTGTAATTGCCTCCTCGTGATAGCGCGGATCTGATGCCAACTTTTTAGTGCTATCTCACTGAAATACCATGCCGAGGACACCCAGCACAGCATTCCGCCTGGTCACATTACACTGACAACGTGTGAACCAGTTGTTGCCATTACCCTTAATGCCGAACGTCAAGCAGACTTATCAGTGTAAACATTTAATAAACAGGATATTTACATATGTACAAAGAACAACACACATAAACAAACTGTCGTATATCTGATCAGCGCTCTATCCAAGATTATATAATTCTTTAATATTCTGTGTATTAAGTAATTGAACAAGCTTATATACACTGGGATTATTTCTTTAGAAGCATTGTAATACTTCCGTCTTAAATCTGTAGTATCTTGTGCAAACTAAAACAAAATTTACCCTCGTCTTCTATGTCATTAGGATTACACTTTGTACATAATCTGTTAGTTCTAACAAAGACAATATAACGCCAGACACTGACAGTCCAAGTCGAGTAATTTCTTTCTGAGATACGACTGTCGTAAAATTGTAGTATTTATTTTTTCTGTAAAGCATACCTTTGATAGACAAACCTGTAATTACACTTTATATCCCTCTTGGTTAAAAATCGTTTTCATTCTGAGCGTCCCAGATATATCCTAAGCCTAAACGATACAATTCATCTTTTATTTCACAGACCCATTGATCTTAATTAGCAGCATAATTTCATTACATGATTTCAAAATACAATTTTCAGTATTGAGCAATTTAAACCAATATTTAAAAATTGTAAGTGTCCTTGTTACCTATAACGGATAACGGCCTAATTAGAAATATACCACCATATTCGGAGTGGATTTGCGCACACCTTGCAACCTTTAAAAAAACCCTACATGAAGTTTTTCGATGACATGGCCTTTATGGAATCCCCAAACTTCTGATCCGTATTTGACTATTCCGTCTTTGCGTATTGCAGAGTTATCTTCTCTTGGGAGCAGGTATTGATTGTTACTTCATTGGTTTGTGCGAGAAAATTACGTGGTTTCTCAAAAATTGATGACGTTACTCTCTCAAACAAGTGACGTAACAATCAATACCTGCTCCCAAGATAAGATAACTCTGCAATACGCAAAGACGGAATACTTCTGACATATGTGTCAAACACAGCTAATTGAGTCTCAATATTAAAATACTGTTTCTTACATACATACAATAATGCAAACAATGCTTTTCTTCCTTGTTCAGATATTTATTTCTATGGTTGTTTAAATTTTTCATTATAATTCAATAAGATTCCAAGATAGTTGAATTCATTCACTAAATTCATTTCTAAAAACAACAATCTTGGTCTTTGAAGTATTTACAATAAGGCCCCACTTGATAGTGTAATTTAATAAAGAGTCTAGCATCTTTTGATTCGGCAAAGATAACTGTATCATCAGCATACACAAGTAAAAATACGTTAATTAGTTGTAAGTCAATTGAAGGACAGCTGTCCTCTATAAATTGCATTTCGAATTCGATCATACAATGAAAATAACAGAGGAGACAACATTTCTCCTTGACGAAGTCCAATCTTACAGCCGAAAGAATCAGAGCATACGCCACAGTTTTTTTACACAGCATCTTACATTTTTATAAAGTGATCTGATAATATTTAATATTTTACCTTCAATGCCTTCTTTGATCATTTTGTACCATAAATTATGTCTATTAATCAGGTTAAAAGCTTTGGTATAGTCAATGAAACAGCAGTATAGACGTTGTTGTTTTTTTTACTTTTTAGCGTGCGATTAATTAGGGCCTGTAATGTAAATAAAGCATCTGTCGTCGAAAAAAATCGTTTGAATCCAAACTGAGCATCGGTTATCTAATTGTACAACATGTCAAACTTCATCAATCTATTATTCAATACAGACGTAAAAAGTTTACCAATACAACTGACAATCGAAATACCCCTGTAGTTATCAGGGTTACTTGGATCACCTATCTTAAATACTGGAACTTTATTTCCAACTGTCCACATACGAGGATAAATACCCGATTTAAAAATGTTGGTGAAAAGTACAACAAGACAAGGTACAATAACTTCAGAGCAACGAATAAAACATCCGTTCAGCATATCATCGATACCACACGCCTTATTGGATTTGAGGTTTCGAATAGCACACTCTTTTTCACAACCTGTAATATCATCATCAAGTTCATCAAACACTGGAGTGTGAATGGGTATGTCATCATAATGTTTCATATAATTATCAATACTTTCATCATTTTTTAGTTCAGAGGATGCAAGATTACAAAAGTTTTTTTATTGGAATTCTTCTAAAGATATATTCTGAGAGTCAGTTGACTTCTTCCTTTTTCTGAAGTGCTTGTAAAACCATTTCGAGTAATATTTCCCCGATGAAGCTTGTATTCACGCTTTAACTTAATTTCAAGATTTTTCGTAGCAACTCTAACATCGGATAAGGTTTTCACGATTTTTAACTGATTTACATAAATTAAAAGTAGAGAGAGCAATCTTGTATTCTCCGAACCTTAGCTTACACTGATCATTGAATCAAGGCTTATCTTCGTTTTCTTATCTCTGACAACGGCGTATCGATCCAGAGCTGCATGTTTAAAGTCGTTTCAACTCAGCTGGTCGGTAATGAATCTTTGGCTAGTGAACTCAGGTACAAAACCTGCATAGAGATGATTACTGGAAGGACAACATGTCCTTGACCAACCCCAACGACGACGAAGTTTTACTTGTCTTTCCCAAACATATACAGACGCTTGCCTAAGTTGTGGATTATTTGGCAATGCCTATTCAAGCGTGTGGACTATTGGATAATGGCCCTCTCC